AGCATGGCGTCCCACGTGAAACCCGGCAACGTAAAATAATGCGCGGGATTGAGTCCATAACTCGCGACGCAGCTGTCGCGAAAATTTTCAAAAACGTCCGCGAGCAACATGACGTCCGTTTTCAGGTACAGATCGCTGTACTCGCCGAGCGTTCCGATGGAGAACCGCTGCCACACATCAACAGCGTGCATAATCACTCTCGGACACGGTGTCGCCCGTCAACGAACTGTGAAACGATTCGCGCGGCGGTAAACGCGTATCCTCCAACTTTTCAAAGCGGTCGACGTACTCGTACGGAAATACGCCTTTTCTAGTGAGGAGCTCGAAATGTTTCGCTGGTAGAGTACAAAATTCGCGTTGCATTATCCATAGTTTATCTTTCTCGAGATAAGATGCCAATTTCTCGAGACTCGAACTGAGAAATTTGAACGAGTCGATAATGTTACACTAGTTCTATGATCTTTTTTTTCATTTCCGTGCTATTGACCGTTTTCGTAAACGCGATGTACTTCTCTTTTGTTACCGGAAGTAGGTTCACGTATCCCTCGTACGCGGTAGCTTCCTTGATAATAAAATGCACGTCATAACCGGATAGATTGTGAAACACCACGGGAATGCAACGCGAATCTTTGTAGTTCAAATTGCAGTTGGTATGCGCGGGACCTCTGTATTGTTCGGTCATGTGGCAGTAATCCCGTACCCGTGTGTCTTCCGCCGCAAACGGTTTTTCGCATATGTGACAGTGCGTAGCGTTGTTATATCTTTCACATTCGTCGCGCGTCAATTCTGCCATCGGAACGTTAACGGACAGAGCGGACTTTACTTTATGCTTTCTTTATGCTTTACTTTATTACAATTCTTTGAGTTCCTCGACGAACCACGCGACGCAATCTTTATCGCGACGACACCGATACATCGATAGCGCGTCGTCGTACGAGCAGTGCACGTAATATCCGATACTGTGTACCTTGTGGTGTTGAGATTCCGGCAGATTCGGGTCCATCTTCTCTAGAACGCACTCCAGGTCGGCGTACACGACGAACGGTACACGTTCCTTGTTACCTTGTTTGCGTTAACCATTTCGCGTTTTCTTTCGGCAGCTCTACCGCACACTCGTTCAGCTCGTTGCATTCCACGGTGTGGGCATCCAGTCGTTCTTGCGAGCTGAAGTAATGTAGGCATCTGAGTCGACAAGGCACACAGGGGATA